TTAACCAGTCAAATATCTCTATTTAATAGTATAAAGTTATTTGTTTGTACCAATATCCAACAATTACTGTTTAATTATAAGCATTTCTGTGTTTACATTTGCGATCAATAAATGCAATAAACAAAGACTATGTTTCCTTACTTGTCAAAATCCATTCTATAAACACAGGAGAAGATATTTTAATCTAAATTAAACTTTCCATGATCTAAAATGTACAACTGTCCTGCAGATGGTGCCGTACGATGTGCCTCTTCATGCAGGAATCCTGCCCCGGCTTTTGATCACGATAGATGCAGAGCCCGTACCTGGCGCTGACAGGTAAAAACAAGCCTGAAACATTTCTTCTTTTAAATTCTTCTTTTAAAGGTGCTGATGTACTATTTCCCCATTTTCTGCCTTTTACAACTCTTTATCTGGTGCTTGTTCTGCAATTTTACTGACTGTTTCATATTTGTTTAAGCCACATTTATCTTCGCAGCAGAGGAACGGTGTTTCACTTGTCATTTTCTCGCTGCAGGTTCCACATTGACTTCATCAAAGGGTCAGACGTTGTCTTTCATTTAAACCCTCGGTTTCATGAGCAGACGATTGTCAGGAACTCCAACCTGGCTGGATGTTGGGGGCCTGAAGAAAGGGAGGGAGGATTTCCATTTGTCCCTGGACAACGATTTGAGGTAAAGTGCTCCTCAGTCATGAACATCCAAGTGTGCTTTATCACAATCTCACACACACGTACACACAAATTCAAAGTCATACACTCTGGGAATACCCAAACAGCTGTTATCATTACATATTAACACATTTTATTGTAAGCTATGCACAGGAGACTTGACTCAGCCCTTCTCTGGTTCTGTTCTTAGTGCAGAAAAAGGAGTAAAGGAACAACCTTCACAGTGCATGATTGACACACTGCATGTTCCACACAAGATATGGAACATGTTGGGTGACGGTTAAAGGAATTTATGATCTATAATAGACACATTGATCTACAGCTGTTTAAAGATCACATTACATCACTTGAACAGATTGTTATACCACCATCTGTTTTGTGTACAGTTCTGTTGTCCTTTACGAGCAGCACAGTTTCCGAGGAGGCACTGTTGAAATGAGCTGTAGTAATTACACCCATGAAAAAATAAGCAACTATTTCACCCTGAAAAATTGACAAAGCCGAAAGAAAAAGAAGAATTTCACCCATACAAAATGAGTTTTGACTGTCTAAGTGAAGTCATCAGTGCAATGTTTGAAGTTTTAAAAAGCCAATTTCATATTACAGAATGATATCAAATTATACAAATAAAGTTATACCACAACAGTTATTATGTAAATTCCATCCTACATGAAGCCAATGCAAAGTGACAAAAGAGCCACATGTGTCTCACTTTATTTTTATTCATTAAACTATCTCAACAACCATATTATTTGTTTCCAAAACCAATAAAAAGAAGTTGTTGGAGCACTACAGCACTATCTGCATATATCAGTTTTTGTTATTTCTGTTCTTAAGAATAAAACCTTACTGTTTTCTACTGATAATATCATTGCCTCTCACTCAATAGTTCTGTATTTAATGTTAGAAAATAATCTGAAAATGAATTCAGTGTTTTGTAGGTTACAAACCTCTGGTCCTCAGACCAGTTCTAGGGTGTAGGTCAATTTGTACCGGGCTGCAATGAAAAATAAATAGGATATGATTTTGAAAAAATACCAGATTCTCTCCTGTTTAGATACTAATGTCATACAAATGTCAAGATCATTGTGTTGGTGTTATTGATGTCATCAGTAATAAAACCCCCCATCAAGTCAAAATGTGTAAAGAACCAGCATCATGGCTGTCCCATGGACATTAACCTGAGTATGTGGAACTCAGGTTAATGTTAATTCTAATTGTGATGTACTTCGTAATTGTTTGTATATTAGCCATATCACTTCATGTTGTGTCTGATGAGTTGTGTTGCTCCCCCTGCAGCTGAAGATCCTTGTAGAAGAGGACAATTTCAAAGTGGCTGTGGATGATGTTCACCTGCTGGAGTACGAGCACCGAGTCGGTGGGTTTGAGGAAGTGACCCTGGTGCGAATCGTGGGAGATGTCGCCCTCTACAGTGCAGCACCAAGCATGATCTGAGAGTCAGACTGATACCACCAACACCCCCATCAATCCCTGCGCAGGAGACGTCTGTCAACATTACCACTGTATCTCTGTTTTCTACAAAAACCCATTCAAACACTTTGATGGAATCAGTGGGCACAGAGGTCAAAGTGCATTATTCAGATGGAAGTTGATCCCAGATCAGCACTGAAGAATTTTCCACTTTTTTACTGGACGATGTCACACTGTAGCCTCTCACAGTTCAATAGATCTTTTGACGTAAACGCTTTTAAGCCATTAATGAGATGAAGTGCATTCACATAGAGGTATTTTAGGTAAATACTAATTTATTTGAAATTGAAAAATGATTGTTCACCAAGTAGGAAGGTAATCATGTCCTACTCATTTCATATACATTTAGTTTATTGCTTACACTACATGTATGCTTCATGCTGTCCTTTGTATGGAAAACATTGATACGCCTTTGTAATGCATGAATATGTAAGGCACTATTTTCAGTTCATTTAAATTCATGCCTTCTCCTTTCTATAATTTCAATCTTCTTTGTCACGTAATGTTTCTCAAACTGTGACTTCAACTTGCAGTCACACCGGGTGTATGTAAAAATGTGGAATAAAGGAGTCTGATTAGTTGCCAAAGTTGAGTGGTACAGTATTCTAAGAATGTTTCCCTATAAATAAAATGTAACACAAAAACATAGACTGATGCTGCTGTTTGGCTGAGAAACTTTGAGCACATGTTCTAGAAGCTGCCTGAATGTGTAATAAACATTATTTTTACCGCACAATTTTCCTAAGGACTGGCCTTCCTCTGTGGTTGGGGTTTAAAGTTAATGTTAATCCTTCATATTTATTTAAATATAATATCTTAGATTGAACACAACTGGAGATGTGAGAGAAAACACCACAAAGACCCCGAAATAGACCAAGACACAGCCCCCTTCCACTAAAGAAACACTTCTAGCTCCAGAAAAAGGTCTGGTAATAACATGGAGGAAGATGAGACGTGTGTTAGCATAACATTTGGTCACATGAGATCAAATTAGAATAGTATACACTTTAAGATGTTGTCTATGTGAGGAGATGGAAAGGAGGGAAATATAAACAAATATAAAGTTTAAAAAGTTCTGTTAGGCAACTGGATGTGAATTTTCTAAAAAAAATCTACAAAGAAAGATAAATAAAGCTTTTAAAATAAAGTTAGAATGTTCATTAATGTAGTGATAAAATGCATTTCTTTTGTAGGAAAGCGTTCTGTCATCTGGCAATTCAACAATTCAATTTAGAGTTCAAAGGGGAAACTGAAGTTCCCCTTTCAGTTCATCAGGGGGCAGCACAGCGACAAACCTCCGTCAGTGCTGAGAGGAAGCGACTGGAAAACTCTTCAATGAGTTCTCCTCCGCTACCTTAAGTTCTCGCTTTAGCCACGCCGGATTTCATGTGTTTTTCCTGAATACCGGGTTTGACCGTTAACCGGTGTCTTGACACAATGAACGGGTCTCTGCGCTCCTCGGACAACGTAATGGACATTAGACTGAAGCGAGGACCGGCAGGTGAGAGGACGAGGCTAATGCAGAGCTAACAGCTAACTGCCTGCGTAATAACTGCCTGACTGTGAGGACGTATGAAGCGCGCATCAGCTAAACGCTAACAAGGCTAATGTGCTTATCAAACAAATATTGAAACTAACGGATTGTGACAATTGAAGGAATGCTGTTAGTATGAATATCAGCTAAAATAAAGCTAAAAAGCTAAAATAAAACAATTTGAGGACAAAAGGTCATAACTTAAACTTAAACATGTAGCTCTGTAGCGCTGTAGTTCCGTAAATAATGTCCTTAGGAATGAATGTTAAGAACATGTTGTTCAACGTAGCACTGGCAACATGTTTCTTTTTTTATAAAGCAGCCAAGCAGTTACATTGAATGAATACGTCTGTGTGTTTTCACTGATAACACGCACAAAATAACATTACAAGTGCAGTCTGACTGTGTCTGCTTATTAAAATAATTCTCCAGCTGTTACTTCCATTTAGATGAATCTATCTATTCACCCTACACCACACCAAGCACCAGGGTTTAAACATGTGTAAAATGGGACTCACTGTAGCTGGTGTATCATGGACATTGGGTGTCCATATTGGAGCCTCCGAGGTCAGTCAAACATTGACCCTAACTTTTGGATATATGTGTACTGTGGACACTTTAGGACTGACCTTTGCAGTATGTGTGTAATTTGACGCTGTAACTTAAGCAGTAGCCTTTATATTTATGTGTGTGTGTTCTTTTGTTCACTTACTTTTTCATCCCCAATGGCAAAATTTGTAACCGCCGTCTTTGTTTATCTCTCAGTTGCTGCCAAGGACTTTTGATATTGTGTCTCTATCAGAAAATGAACGGCCTCTGTCCTTCCATCTGTTGTTCTTTCACATTCCAGAATGTACTTGGCATTTATAGAAGGCTTTATCATCTGTGGGATTATTATTTAATTTCTTCAGCTCGCATGTTCCGTATAACAGACAATTTTAGTCAGATGGAGTGTTTCATAACATAACATCTAATGGTTTAGCCAACAAACAATCATTATCATAACTGTGACTGACTATTTAAATGGAAACATGAACCTATTTCAATGAAAAGTGAATGCTGGTTTGTTTACTCTTGTGTTTGTTATATAACGTTCATTCACTCACCATTGGCCTGATTCCTCTTAAACTTTGTCCTGTTGAGACAAATGTTGTGATCTGCTGAACAACTTTTCCCCTGATATATACTCTGTGCCTGCTGGATTTTACTGTAAAAACCTTAGAATCTTACTGTCTTATTTGTTCAGCTTCAGGAGTCACTTCACCACAGCTCTAACTTTTAAAAACATTCTAGTTTACTCTTACTTTAGTCTCATTTTTTCAGCTTCAGGAGTCACTCCACCACAGCTCTAACTTTTAAAAACATTAGATAAAGATGATCAAAACACACATTATAAAGAGAACTAAGAGAAAACAAAAAAATACTGTGACGAATCTATCAGAAATAAAATAATCTATTGCACTTTACTTTGTTACAGTTTCATCAATTTCGCTGTGTAGTACAGTTTGAACACTTGAATGTCACAGAGGCTACTACGTGATGTGATGTTTATTAGCAGGTCATTCACAAGCATAGCGCTACCTACTGTACTGCAGTGTGTAGTGTCGGGGTATGACCAGTGACTTTTTAAAATAACGCAGCCTACCACCTAGGATTCATTATGATTTTTTTTTTTAGTCAATGCGAATTATCACACATTTGTATGGGTTATTAATCGATTCATGAGTTCATTGTTAGTCGTATGGATCTCATCACATTTGATGTCTTTTTTACTTTTCATAGGCTTGGGATTTAACATAGTTGGAGGTGTGGACCTGCAGTACGTTGTTAATGACAGTGGCATATATGTCAGCAAAATAAAGGAAGATGGAGCTGCAGCGTTGGATGGAAGACTCCAGGAGGGAGACAAGATCCTGGCAGTAAGTCTTATATACTGAGGTGTGGACACTTGTCCAAACTGTGCACACCAGGAATTGCAGCATGTCATCGACTCATTTCGTGTCACTACAAGCTGTCAAACTTATTGTTAAAATTTTGATCTTGAGAAATCAAATTTTTGTTTAATTTACAGTCTAATTTGTTTTTCTTCAGATTAATGGAATCCAGCTTAAAGATATGACACACAAAGCCGCTGTGGACATCTTCAGGACAGCAGGGGAGGATGTGGAGCTTCGAGTTTTGAAAAATGTATGTAGTTGTATGATACCAGTGCATGTCTTTGATATTTGTCTGGGAAAAAAAATACTTTTCAGTCATTGAAACATTAAACATTTTTCTGAAGAAACAACTGCACCAAGTCTTCTGCAGATCATGATGTCTGAAACTTCAATCACAATTCGAGAGAAAATAGACCATGAAATTGAAATAAGACTTTGAATTAGAACATACAAGTTATTTTACAAAAATAACCTCCATTCAGTTCATGAATGTTACCTTCTGTATCTTACAGATCCCTCCTCACATGAATGGACCCTCGGACTCACAGACTGAACCTCATTCTTCTGCTCTTTGCGGCAGCAGGTGCAACGGAAAGGTTTCTCCTGATGAAGCCTCTGATGGGTTCTCATGTTCTGCAGAAAGGCAAACTCTTTGCCACAGTCAGAACATTTGTAGGGCTTCTGGCCTGTATGAATGATGACGTGTTGCTGCAAATAGCTGTCCAGTTTCTCTGGGATCATGTTGATGGGATCAGTGGTTGCTTCTCCACACCCTTTATGTGCTAAATTATGCTGTCTTACCACACAGGTAAGTGATGCTTTTGTGACGTGCACATGACATT